CTTCTCAATGCCTATAAGCGAAAATAAATAGTGATTTTGCCTACCCTTATCAACGCCCAAATTTCATCGTGCAGTCGCAATTGTTCGGTAGTGTTTTATTTTTCATTTTGTTTCTACAAATCGGAATGACCTGAAATTTGAAGGGTATATACATGTTAATGAGGGAGTCTAATAAAAATATAAAAAAAATTATCCGCAAAAAACAAATGGACCAAAATATTCTCGAAACATTTCGGGGGTATTTTGATCAATTTGTTTCATGTAAACTATTTGTTTTATATTTTTCGAAGATTCCCATATTTTTGATGAATACACGTTCCAAATTTCAAGTTATTTAGGTTTGTAGAAAAAAATAAAAAATAAAACACTATTGGACAATAGTGACCACGCTATGAACTTTGGACGGTGGGGGTAGGCTAAATCACTGTTCATTTTAGGCTATAAACGTTGCGTAGTATTTTCCCTATATATATATATATATATATATAAATAGAAAGCTATGTTTGTGGTATTTGTATGATCCAAAATTTTGTACACTCACTCTCTTCATTTCAATAATCAATCTAAAAAAAAAAAACTACTTTGCACCCTATATATGGTCAAAATGAGTCCCCTCCAATAATGAATCTAGACCGTCTATTTGATGAATTTCAAGATCTAGGCCTTTATGCATTTAAAATCATTTGTTTCTTTTTTAATATTGTTAATCTAATGATACTAAAATTATCTAAAAAAATTTGAAAGATAAAAGATCATTCTAAAGCCTAGATCTAAGCATTTCACAAAAATGGACGGTCTATGTTAATTGAGCTAAAAAAATACTTTCTAGGTTGCGTTTTCAAATTTTGCTTTTTCGTAATTATTCATTAGAATAAAATAGTATATATTTTAAAATTTGTATCACACAAATGGCATTAATTTAGTTTTTGAAGGTTGTTGCAACATATTACTATACAACCGTTGCACAAAATCAATACCATATATATAAATGGTGTAGTTTGAATGCGGATGCATCCGTAGGTGTAG